TTCCTAATGATACACATAATGGACAATGACAGCCACTTTTAACATTATTTAAAGATAAATACTTTAGCACCTAGTTTCCTAAATCTGTCCCTTTGTGGGGTATTGTTGAACATAAAATTCCAGTTTTGAGTTCTCCTCTTAAGCTAAGGTAACCAGACTTACTCTAAAATCTCCAGTATAAATAGACGGATGTTGGAGAGGACGGGTACAGGGATTTAATGTACAAAAATATCTGAAAGAGGTTTCATATGAGCTCCCAGATAAGGCTTTAAAATCGTTATGAGCTGGTGGAGTGGTGCTTTTTGTGTGCAAGAGGATACAGCAATAAGACCTGCAACATTCATATACCTTTCAATAAGGCTTCTGCACTTAAACTGATATTGTAAGGTGTAGAGAAGATTGACATTTGCAACATTGAATCACACAATTGTTAATTGTTAGTAATCATACTATTGTCAGGCGATGCAATGTTTCTTTTAAATTGTGCTCCATGCATAGAAATGAGGGCAAATATTACTACTTCCATAAGTAAAACCCACAGGTGGTGTTTTATAGTTTCTGTAAAAACTTCAAGTGCCTCATCTTTCATCATAGATTTTGTGTAGTTTTTCAGTGCTTTTCTTTGTCCTGTTAAAAATGGACAAAACTACTAGACAAAAACTCTGTCTCTGACCAGACTCAGAAAATCCTTTAACAGGCCTCTCTTACAGAGCTCCTTTCCCAGTGCAACAATTAGAGAAACCAAGCACCATGCTCTGGCCCAGTCTGTGACAGCCTCTATCAGCCTCTATGGCCTCTACAAATTGAAGATGTATTATATTGTGTACAGTTGTATAATATAATAATGAGCACAAGTAAGACGAGTAGGAACAGATACGTGTGATTGTCTGATACAAGACCGTGAGCTAAAAGCCTAGAGCTTTGAATAAACAGGATTCAATGTCATTAATGTCAACAATGTTACACAAAACGTGTTATTTTCAATCACTACACAGTATCTAGTTGTTGCAATTTCTGACAAATCTGTTGAACAGTTTGTTTATACCTTAAAGGACAACTCACCCTCAAATCCACTTTTTTTGCTGATAAACGGTATAAATGAGTGTCCAATAGTGTTGTCTACATATCCTGGTCATAATCTTGTCACTTTGGTGCAAATTAGTTGAAAGTTAGACTTTCTGCCTAAAACCGTCTGTGAGGCGCCATCTGCTGGCGACCTGTGTTACTACATTTGAATTTTGAATCTGGCGCCAACACTGGCACAGAAGTTGGACCTGACGTCAGCAGCCCCCGCCCAGAGCAATGTAAACGGCCCAGTCTCGTTCACGCCCCCTTTAGTCCTCCAGGCTACGCCCATTTAGAGGAAGATTTGAACAGGAAATGTGAGTAACGTAAGCTCCGAGGAGCGGGGGTGAGAACCACTTTAAAGAAGCTATACCAGATTTATTTTCTAATGAGTTCATAAAAATGCTAATTACTACATACAAGTTGTATTAAAATCCATAATTTAATTGAAAACGTGAGCTCATTGATTCAGCTTGTGGATGAATTCATGCCGTAAAAAGTGCAGAGTAGAGACGGTAGTTCTCCTCCACTCACAGAACGAGGAGCGGTGCTGTTACGAACAGGCCGCTTCCTCTAGCCTCTACAGCGCTGGTAAACCCAGTACCATGTTAGCAGAATTGGCTATAACTCCTCTTGCTGTAACTGCATACACAGCAACATGGCCAAAACGACGCAACAGTGTGGAAGAGAGAAGGGAACTAAAGCAAAAAAATTATCAAAGAAGAAATCAAGCCCGGGTGAATATATGTAGCGGTAGCTTACATCGTATCCTCTGGAGAGGCCTGCGGGTGCGGAACCATCTCGGACTACATTTGGACGCGAAACTAGTGGTAATATTTCAGTTATATATTTTGTTAGCAGCGCATTGCTTTTGTACCATTTCATCGGTGATTGTTGTACAGCAGGGGTGTCCAAACTGGTCCAGAAAGGGCCGCCCAACAGAAGCAGAGTAGACTGCACCCATTTCCTCAAGTGAGTTCAGTCTTAACCTGAAGATTTGAGGAAATGGGAGGAGTCTGCTCTGGTCCTGTTGGGTCTGATAGCAAACCTGCAGCCACAGCACCCTTTCTGGACCGGTTTGGACACCCCTGTTGTACAGGGATTATTCATTAGCCTTGAGCTGCAATGACAAGTTTTATGTTCCACATGGGCAAAGAAAATATTGTTTTATCAAATAAACTGTAACTTGCATGTCTACTAAGACATTTACCCTCAATAAAAGATAATATTCATATATCTAATGTTCAAATAAGCCAACTTATGTCATGTGGTGAAATAAAAAAGGAACCCAAAATGGAGGACTGAAAAGTGTGATGTAATCAAACTAAATCCAAGGTAACGCCAAAATACAAAAATCCAGAACTGAAAACAAGCCAGAAACACACGTGGTATAGACAATGGACAAACAAGAAGTGGGGAAAAGCACAGGGTAAAAATAGACACAGGGACAAGTGGGGAAAAGCACAGGGTAAAAATAGACGCAGGGACACAGGTGAATAAAATTAGGGCGGGGCAAACTATCAACAGGAGCCAGGAAGAATACTCAAACTACAAGAGAACATAAAATAAACAAAACCAGTTCAACATAAGGAAAAAGTCCACACCATGACAACTACAGTCTACTGCAAATTAAACCAAAGCCATTGTGTTGTGCCAATAATGTGTACGCGTCTTCCTGGAGCCTCCTCTGAGCTGTCTGTTCACACTTTAGCTGCCAAAGGCCTTGATTAATGGCCTGCTTTAATTAATACTCTTACAGTACTTAGAGCAGAGACCTGGCAATTAGCATTGGCCTAAAGAGTGTAATCACCTGAGCTCATCCAGATCTTATCCCGTTCTGTCTAATGTCTGATTGACTGCTATAGAACTCTCAGCGTGTGGAGGCCTGCACCGCGGCACACTCGCTTTTCTACTCCTGCTATTGATATTGAATTGAATTCTTGGGTGGTACCAAATATTGGACTCTTTGATTTTTAAAAAGGAACATAGATTAATGTGACAGTCTAGTACAGACCAGATCAGTACAAACCAAACTGAAATTCTCTTGATCAAACAATCCTGTAAAACTGCTGGCTTGTGTTTGCAAGTCTGTAATCTTGGGACATCACTTAACATTTCACACTTAAAAAGTTTGTAGAGTGTATTTATGTTGGAAACTAAAAAATAAACAGCATTAATTACAAAGTGATTAAGCACTCATTCTCCAGGAGGCTGTATCATTTAATTGAATGGGAAATAATGATCACAATTTCACCAACTTCTAATTAGGAAAACAGCTCAAATCTTATCAGGACATGATGCATGCTCTGCACACATCTAGTCGCTGTGTACAGACACAGACACACACTCGCACTATGAGAAACAGCAGCCGCTTTCCACTAACAAGGCGGATTATGTTTGGAGGCTTTTGTTTTTACTCAAAAGCATCCATAATATCCTATTCTCAAAGATGAGGACAATTACAAATCTGATAACTCATCTATTAAATTCCATTTGTTGCCTATCTGACATGTCTGAAACAACAGCAGGAATACAGGCTGATTCTTATCTTCACTTTTCACCAACTACATCATTCACACAGACAGTTTGGAAGCAGACCAACAATTCAGGTAGCTCCAAACTTTCAGTTTATTTTATTATTGGCAGCGCAGGGGATGTTTTTTTTTATTATTTGTTCCGGATGCAGGATTTTTAGCAACCTACAAATAAACTGACCAATTAAAAGTAAAGTTCTTGTAAGTCATTCCGGATAAGATCGCCCAGATTGAGTTTTATATGCAACACACACTGCCTACAACACATCTGCCCTCACAACTCGCAGTCGGTCGCTGTATCAAACCATCGTGGTAAAGAGGGAGTTGAGCCGAAAGGCAAAGCTCTCGATTTATCGGTCAAACTTCGTTCCCTCCCTCAACTATGGTCATGAGCTTTGGGTAATGACCGAAAGAACGAGATCACGGATACAGATGGTCAAAATGAACTTCCTCCACAGATTGGCTGAGCGCTCCCTCAGAGCTAGGGAGAGAAGCTGGAGGAGGTGTTCCTGGGCATGTTCCTGTGAAGGAGGCCCCGGGGAAAACCCAAGAGCTGCTGGAGGGACTATGTCTCAGAGCTGGCCTGGGAACACTTCAGGATTCCCCCAGATGAGCTGGAAGATTTGTGTGTGAATTGGAAAATCAGGGCATTCCTGCTTACACTGCTGCCCCTGCGACCTGGGAATGGATAAATCAGATGAAAATGGATGGACTGACATTAAAGAAAGAAGGAATAAATACTTATTATAAAAATTACAATGGATCAACAGACAAAGCACAAAGTGTACACAAACATGAAATGTTCTTTGTCATCATTTGGTAATGTGAAATAGACAGACAAAATATTATTGACAGATAGTTATCAGATTTGCTCATCTGAGATAGACGCAGGAGTACTTTGGAACTTTTCAAGCATTTCTGAGATTCACAAAAACAGCTGTAAATCAGCAGAATGACAGGGTTGGCAGCAGCCGCAACAGCACTATACATGTCAGGGAGCCGAAAGGAGATGACAGGCAGTGCAGATTTTATATTGCATTTTAATAACTAGAAACAATTGATTGATTGTGTTTGTGCAGCTGCCAAAATGATGACTTGATTAAGATGAAATATCCATGTATTGCTCCACATTATATTGTTTAATGCCAACATCTCCTCCAGCACTGCAGACACATTCAATTGTAAGAATGCTTCAGGTATGGAGCAAAATATGTTTTTCCAGATGGGCCACGATAGAATAGTCTGGGTTCCATAATATGAACTCACATGTTACATTCTAAAAACACAGCTGTAGAACACTCATAGGCAGAGGAACAATAGTGAAACAAAGGCGCAGGCGTATACCATAGCACAGAGCCAGCAGTACACAGAGGAGCAGCAGCCAGGCCGGTGTGCCAGGTGCTAGGGCTCTGTGCTGAGAGTGAGGAGGAGCGGAGAGGCTCTTGGCTGGCCTTGAAAGCGAGAGGCACAAACAGCAGCAGTGATGCCTGGTTTGGACACAGCCAGGGAAGCCCTGAAGGGGTTTTCTGGGTCTGCAGGCAGGAAGAGTGAGAGGGAATGGTTTTTGGGATGCTTTTTACTATGGACAGTGTTCTCTGTTACAGAGAAGTGTGATCCTCCACCCGGCTGTCCTGTTCTGAGCTGGACCTTGTTGTCCAGAAGCCCAAACATTCAGAGCTGTAAGGGGCTAAACTGGACTCACACATGCTATTGTTCCATGCTGTGTGCAAAGGCCAAAATAAGACATACCTTTTCCCTCTAAGCTCTGTGCAGCATGGCTGCTTTGGGACAAATGCTATGCTAATGAGCAGTGGAATAGAAATACAACACTCAGAGATAAGAAGGTGCAGGTTCGCACCCGGTACGTCCACTGATCAGATAAGAACACTAGTAAGCGTACAGGTGCAGTCCGAATGCTCTTACACAAAAAAGATCCAAATTCAGAAGGACAACATTACACTTAACTGTCCTTTTTGACTATAATCGGATAAAGAACAAAAATATGATAACGTTATGGTTATGAGATCTACACTATGTACACACTATTTAACCAAACTTTAAACATCACTGCAAAATGATGGTATTGACTAGAATTAGCTGTGCATTAATTTTGTTCCTCATCTTTTTACAGCACAACAATGTTATAGCCTCAGGAGATCACATGAGGGGTTTCCTTTCTCCCTAATGCCCCTAAACTCTCCACATACCACAAACAGGTTCAGTCCGCTGCGGACAAGAGTCAAAACAAACGAGCGGTGAGGAGGAGACTGCACAGGGAATAGTGCCGCATGAGAGGAGCGCAGAAGACGTGAATGAACAAAGTGCTGCTTGGGTAATGTGGCAGAGCTGGTAAAGTGAGCTGAGGCCAGAGTAAATCGAGCAGGGGGTCTGTGCGGGTTATTTTCACATAGAAGCTGGCCACTCTCCAGAACTGAGCAAGAAAAGACAGCATCTAATAGCTAAGCCTTTTACTGAGCCACACTGCAGTGAACCGTAATTGAAGGTAATTGTTGGGAAGAGCTGACACACACAACTTCCCCCTGTGTTTGTCAGGCAGAGGAGGACAAGCTGGGGTGGCGGGAGGCAAGAAAGGGGGAGAGCAGGTCTGAAGGCTGGGGCCATGGTGGACTGACTGAAGGAAGGAGGAGGCAACGGATAGCATTACCCCACCTCTATACCATCCCCAACTGTCCTACACCGCATTTGTCTGCTTGCACAATTCAGTAATTGTGTCCTTGCTAAATGCTCCAAAGGGTTGCTGTAGTGTCTTGGATGCAGGTGGGCAGGCTCATATGACGGGGATAGAGAAAAGACTCCATGAAAAGGCAAGTCAAAATGTTCCAGAGAAAAGTGAGAGTGTGTTAGGACAACTTCCAAAAAATACATTATATTTTAAGGGAGTGAACAAGGCCATTGCTCCGTCACTTCAGTCATGGTAAAAATTGATCTTTTTTCCACACTGAATTCTTCAATGAATACATTTGCTCTTTGTCGCCGTGCGCAGAGGTGTGTGTCTATGAGTGTGAGCGTGTGTGTGTGTTTTGGGCAAGAGGAGATGGAGGAAAATCACCTTCCCCACTTTGCCTAGCCTCCTCGGTTGGATGGGTTTAGCTCTACGCGCGCACTGGAGCAGGAAATCCAGATTCGCAAGCTATCAGCGAAATAGCACATATGACTCCCCGGCCTAAGACGGTCTAATCAGGGTCTGCCAAGCCCGCTAACTCCACCGCCATCATCATCGGGCACCATGATTGACTCCTGAGTCCAAATCGGCCACCATATACTGCTATACGCCAAAAAAATAATAATTCCCGTATTGGTTTCCCCTTAAAACCTGGTAAGGCTAATGCAATGTAATGTAAAAATTAGAAGCACACTCGCCACTTTACGGCACGTCAGCAAGTGCCGATTTATACGGGGAAAACGAAAGAGGGTAAATTGGTCACACGTATAGCAAAAGAGAGAAAATCAGTCCAATTATAACACATAACTGTCAGATAATCTGTAGTGACTTGGAGAGAGGAAAGAAAAGTTTGATGCGCTAATATTAATACTGAAAATGACAGTCCTTGTCAGATTTATAACTATGTAATTCTTTGTTTGCAAGTAAACCTTTTACCTTAATTAGTTATCTTATGTTATTAGTGTAAGTTTTGTTCCAGAGTCCTGCAAAGCTTTTAGCAGCTTTACTTGATGTACGCAGGGGAATGTCTTGATAATTAGCGAGACAAAATGAACTTCTTTCTTCTCAAAAGCCAGATCTGCCCATATAATTATTGGTGTATGATTAATGGTCCTAATCAATCTAGTGGATTGCAGTCTCAATGAAAGAACAGGAGAAATTAGACCTTAATCCTCGACGCTCTGCCCCCCATCATATTACTTCTTATAACTTGCACACAGACACTTTCACACATCAACCTCAAAACCCAGCGACGACCCTCCCTATTTTTGGTACAAGGGGAAGCTTCCTTACCTCCTACTGTTTAAACTGTATGTTATAATATGGACCATTATGTCCTTAAAAACTCATTACAGCATTTGAAATGGTACTCATGGGAAGTTGGTGTTGCTTCCTCGACATTGTGCTGGCTGGACAGACAAATCGGAGGGGGATGTGGCATGCAATTAAGAGCAAGAATGGATTAGTTTCCTTTTTAAAGTTATTGAGACACAATGAGTCCTCTTCCCCATTGCCGCTCTCGTCTCGTATTGATGGCTTCCCTGTAAGCTCCATCTGCCTGGCCCTCTCTTGGTTAATGACAGTTTGCATTTCACACCATGCAGGGGAAGCAAGGAAAACCCTTTGGCCTAAGCGTGAGCAGATAGTGGAGACAGCAAAAATCCCACTTTGACAGAGCCGTTTGACTTTGTAGGTCGGGGGTGGTGAGGTTTGGAGAGGAATTAGCCCAAGACAAACATGTCAGAAAGACGAAAAAAGCTATTTCTTTGCCGAACATGTCCTAATAGGCTATTATTCTCTATCAGAATTCCAAAAGTTTGTAGTTAAGTGGAAATTGCAAGGCTTATTTTGAGTCTTAAGCACAGCATACTTAGAAATAGGTTAGTCCAATGGTCTCCTTTCCAACATGAAAGTAAATCTTAAAATTCCCATAGACGAATCTTGAATAAACAAAAAAAAGAAGAAGGGTGCCTAGAATGTTTTGGATGTGACTTCATGTTGGCTTTTTCGGTGTGGAGTTTATGTGTTTCTCCCGTGTCTGAATGCATTTTCATGTACAATAGGTATGAAGAACATGACGCAGGGATCTGGAGTCATGTCACATATTGAAGACAAGTCTTGTTGATGTTAAAACGACAAGACGACAGTTGGTAGAGCATTGGCCTTTGGGCCTGAAGGTCGAGGGTTCGAGCCCACCATAAGACCTACTTCACGACTCCCACTGATGTCTGCTGTCGTTGTGTCCTTGGGCAAGATATTTAGCCCCACTTCGCCTGAAGCCCCCACTGAAAGATCAAGGCTCCTGTGGAGTATGTAACCTTAGCTAACATACCTTCTGTTGTATTTAAAGTACAGAGAATTTCAAACATGTTGTGGCATAAATTGTGTATTTTTTTTGTGTAATAACCTCAAAACATTTATTTTCCTTGTATTCTATTTTGCTCCTGCTGGTTAAGACTCCAATGTTAAAAAAATAATGTAGGACTTTAAAAACTTCTTGTATATTGTTTTCATAAATATTCATGTGGAAGGAGAGCTTTAATAATGTAAAGTGCAAACTGAATCTGCGCAGCAAACAGCATCATGAAAGATTATGTTTTCCGCAGACCATGTCATTCCGTAAAATGCCGCGCTTATGATTAAATACTGAGAATATATTAAATTAAAGCACATATACTTAAAGAAGAGGTTAATAAAATCACAGTAATAGTTTTAGGAAAAGGCATAATCATAAGGCTGCTGTGGATCCTACCCTGCGGAGGCTAATCCCAGCTGCACCTGACAGCCCTTGATCCTCTGAAGTGAAGGCCATTATCATATCATATCGTACGCATTGAAATTTAGCCCAGATGTCTCATTTTCTTAAATTATTATTTTATGCCAGGATTTTATTCAGGCATATCTTTTTTGAAAATCCATGTCAAACAGTAACATCAATTTTGTGCTAAACGTGTAGAGCCTATTACTTGAATTATCTTTATGCTATTCATCTGTCCATCCCTGTATTTATTGATTTGTATTGGTTTAACATAATCAGAAAAAAAATATAATGTGTGTTATTTTTTTTATTTTTTTGCCACTGCAAGTAACAGGAAGTCACACACTACGAATTTGCTTTGGCTCGTAGTGCAAACAAGTTAGACAAATAAATACAAAAAGTTAAAAAATAGAAAAAAAAGTTTAAATGACTTTTCATTGTGCAGCACTTTGGAAACTGTGTGTTTATAAAATATGCTATATATGGATAAAGTGGATTGTGTGTTCTTAGACATCTTGTACATTACGTCAACAAACATATACGTTTTCACCAGTATTGATCCTCTATCTCTCCTCCAACCCGTCACCATAGAAGAACGGCCTAATCGCTCATTCTGTATCTTAACCAAAACAAAATGGCGGCAACCAGTAGCTTTTAGCACTGTTTACACTCCCAACTCCCTACATCCCTGCGCCTTGCCGCTCCCTCCCCCTGGCAGCTCGCACCGGCATGGGTGATTAATTTGGGCCATGCAGACAGGTAAACACAGGCCTATTTACATGGCTTACTCAACACCATATTTATACTCAACAGGGCTAAGCCTCAGATAGAATATCCTCAAAGCTCCCATCTGTTTATTTTCTCCAACTGCTCTAAGCTCGGGCCTGACACCGTTCTCTCGTTCTCCTCTTAACATCTCGCCCCCACCCAAACTCACCCAAACTCACCCAAACTCACCCAAACTCACCCAAACTCACCCAAACTCACCCAACAGGACGGTCAGGAGATGTACAGTGGATTTTATTATATAACTAAAACAGGTTGGTGCTTTGTACATGCTTTAAAACTATTTCAAAGTTTTCTTAATTGTCCCTCTAAATTGGAATGTTCCTTTCTTTTAATTTAAATGTCCAGAGAGTTGCTTTTCCTGGGTATCCATAGGGTATTCCAATTCACACAGAAACAAATACTTCACTCGGCTACATTAGGGTTAGGGTTAGGGAGGCGGGTCTTCTCAATGTACAAAAAAAAGCAACTAAAAGCAACAATAATTGAAGAATGTAGATGTTATAAACCAAAGGATGGTTCAAGCAAACAAAAATGTACATATCACAAGAATGGGCATTGAACCAGGATTGTTAAAGAATACCCCTTTAAGTAATAAGCTACATTATAACTACAGCTACATATAGCTACATTTCTGGGTCGGGGAGGTAGTCAGACAGCAGACATCAGTGGGAGTCGGCTTGAACCAACAACTCTCAGGCTCAAAGGCCAGTGCTCTACCAACTGAGCTACTGTCGCCCCTAATTATACATGTATGAAGTAAAATATATTTGTTTTACATTTATTTTGGCAATTTAATTTACCATTTACACCTGGTTGTTTCATGTTATATTCCTTTTCCCCATTCTCACAGCCATGTTTATGGTTGTAACAAAAATCAATATACTTTTTAAACTCAGCTACATCATAAAGTTACCACAACTATACCCAGAGACATTGTATCTGCACAGAGCAAGCTAAAGGTACGGGAGGGTCACCTTTTTCATTCAGTATGCACGCAGCGCCGCTAATGCCGTACCTCACAGGCCAGCCTTAATCAACTGCTGCACTGACAATGTAATTATAGAAGTGTCCGAGCACCACAGCCAGCCGGGAATTCTAATTATCTTCAGGCCTGACAACAAGAGCCAATGGTTCATCTCAGCTCTCTTTGCAAGTCCCAAATACTATTCTATGGCGGCCATTTCAGAAATACAGATAACATAATTGAGACTTGTCACTGTGCAATAAGAAGAATCCTGCGCAATTATTTCTACTTAAGTCATTTAACGTTACATGGGGCAATAATCAGAATTAAACATTTGGTAATTTACTTTTGGTCACAATGTGCAATCTTAATATCAAGGTTTGTATGTATTACTATAGAGGGAGTTGACGTGGTGTGAACGAATGGATGAATGAAAGTTTATTTGAACATGGAATGAAAATAACAGAATACGAGCAAAAAAACAACAACAATATTTACAAGACAATAACAAAAAGATAGAAAAAAAATGTCAACGAAAAGACTTGACTGTTCAAAAAGTGTAGGAAGAAGGCAAAGCTTATTAAATCCCACCCTTCTCCCATTGTGAATTTATTATATTGTCAGAAGTTTTTAAACAAATATTATACTATAATATTCAAGATTCAAGAATTTATATGCCATTTGCAGTAAAACCACATTGGAAAAATTGTGCAAGACTTACCCCAGTGTGTTCACCAGGATAGCACGCACAATATACAGTATATACACACATACACAAAAATGTGCATACACATACTGTATACACATATGGTACATACATACAAAATACACATACATATATAATTTAGATCTAAGATGGCGCCTCGTACGGTCAACACGGCTCTTAGCTGCACTCTTTTTCTTTTGTTTTTACTTTTGAATTGTGCATCGGGCTGTTCCTACACCTTTGAGGAACTTATGAACATCCGACCCACCGTCCCCATGGACCTATTGCCTGTTTTCTTGGCATCTGCGGCTGATTTAGTCCATATTCTAGCTAAAAAAGTGTGGGCCCGTAAAAGGGGAAAGTGCGGAGGCCTGCTCGTGCGTCTTCGGAGAAGAGGAGCGCGCACGGCTCTCCCCGGCATTTTTTTCTCCAACGTACGCTCACTGGGCAATAAGATGGACGAACTCGGCCTGCTCATGAGAAGAAACAAGGACTTCGTCACATCCTGTGTCCTCTGCTTCACTGAGACCTGGCTAAATGAGCGGATCCCGGACTGCGCTCTGGAGCTGCAGGGCTTTGAGCTGTTCCGCGCGGATCGCCATTGTGCGCTCTCAGGGAAGAGCAGAGGCGGTGGGCTGTGTTTCTACGTCAATACAAACTGGTGTAACGATGTGACAGTGATCTCCAAGCACTGTTCTCCTGCTTTGGAATATCTTTTCATTCATTGTAAACCTTTTTACTCCCCTCGTGAATTTGTTTAATTCATTCTTGCCTCTGTTTACATAACGCCATGCGCGGACGCGCGCAAGGCTCAGCGCGCACTCGCAGAGCAAGTACTGTGTATGGAACGTTTATACCCGGACTCGCGATTATTATCCTGGGGGATTTTAATAAGGGAAACTTGAGCCAGGAATTACCCAAATACAGACAGTTTATCAAATGCCCGACCAGAGAGGAGAACACTCTGGATCACTGTTACACCACCGTGCGCGGAGCTTTTCGCGCAGTTCCCAAGCCAGCCCTCGGCTTCTCAGATCACTCCATGATACATCTGGTTCCTGCTTACAGACAGAGACTAAAGCTCTCGAAACCTGCAGTGAGGAGCTCCAAAGTGTGGTCTGATGAAGCTGTGGAAGAGCTGCGCGCATGCATGGAATCTACAGACTGGGACCTTTTCAGAGCTGCCACAGACAGCTTGGATGAATACACGGACACTGTGACGTCATACATTCACTTCTGCGAGGATAGCATCATTCCAACAAGGACCAGGGTCATCTATAACAACGACAAACCCTGGTTCACTGCTAAACTCCTGCAGCTCAGGAAAGCAAAGGAGTCTGCTTTCAGGGAGGGGGACCACAGCGGCTACAAAGCAGCTAAATATCAGTTCAGGGACAAACTGAAAGCAGCCAAGTCCCTGCAGAGAGAACGACTACAGGAGCAGTTTGGTAACAACGATACTGCTTCTGTCTGGAGGGGCCTACGGGAGATCACCAACTACTAGCCCAAAGCTAGCTGACAAACTTAACTTTTTTTTCAGTCACTTTGATGCTGCCCCTGACACCTCCCCCACCCCCCACTACTCTAACGACCCACCCATCAGCCCTGCCCCCAGCCTGAAAATAGCCTCTAAAGATATTAAACAACTCTTCTTGAGGCTGAACCCCCGCAAAGTTCCTGGCCCGCACCACGTGTCTCCGGCCACTCTGAGACACTGCACCAGTGAGCTTACTCCTGTGTTCACTGACATTTTCAACACCTCTCTGCAGTCCTGCCATGTCCCGGCCTGCTTCAGATCCTCCATCATTATCCCCGTCCCAAAGAAGTCCAGGATCACAGGACTCAATGACTACAGACCTGTAGCACTTACGTCTGTCGTCATGAAGTCATTTGAACGCCTGGTTCTCTCCCATCTCAAGTCCCTCACTTCCCCCCTCCTGGACCCCCTGCAGTTCGCCTACAGAGCCAACAGATCTGTAGACGACGCCATCAACCTGGCGCTCCACCACATCCTACAGCACCTGGACTCCCCGGGGACCTACGCCAGGGTCCTGTTTGTGGACTTCAGCTCTGCCCACAGGGCTGTGTTGTTTCTCCCCTGCTCTTCTCCCTGTACACCAACCACTGCACCTCCAGCCACGACTCCGTGAAGCTGCTCAAGTTCGCCGATGACACCACCCTCACTGGACTCATCTCCAACAACGATGAGTCCGCCTACAGGAGGGAGGTGGACCGGCTGGTGTCCTGGTGCAGTGGTCACAACCTGGAGCTGAACGCCCAGAAGACAGTGGAGATGATTGTGGACTTCAGGAAGAGCACTGTCCCCCCGCCCCCACCCTCCGTGATGGACTCCCCCATCACCTCTGTGGAGTCCTTCCGTTTCCTGGGCACCACCATCACCCAGGACCTCAAGTGGGAGCCGACCATCAGCCTCCTCATCAAGAAGGCCCAGCAGAGGATGTACTTCCTGCGGCAGCTCAGGAAAGCCAAGCTGCCTGCACAGATGTTGGTGCAGTTCTACACGGCCATCATCGAGTCCATCCTCACCTCCTCCATCACCGTGTGGTTCGCTGGAGCCACAGTCAGGGACAAACAGAGACTACAGCGCATTGTGCGCTCTGCAGAGGAAGTGATCGGCCGCAGCCTTCCATCGCTGCAGGACCTGTACGTCGCCCGAGCTCGAGGCCAGGCTGGTCGTATCACAGCCGACCCCTCTCACCCTGCACATGACTAGTCCAACCACTCCCCTCAGGCAGGAGACTGCGGTCCATCAGGACTAGAACCTCCCGCCACAAGAACAGTTTCTTCCCCTCTGCTGTTGGACTCTTGAACACTTCTTAACCTGTCCCCCCGCCCTTTATAAAGTCACTTTACTGCCCATCATACGTCACTTTACATCACTGTACTGCTGTCACCTTACATTGTGTGCACCATGTGCACTTGTATATTGTAAATAGTAACTGTAACTCTAATTTAAATTTAAATGTATTCCTTAGAAGTGTTTTTATTCTTTATTTTTGTATTATCTCTTTTTGACTGTTGCACTGAGCCAAAGCAATTTCCAAGTCTGTGAATTCCTGTTACTTACGTGGCAATAAAAATGATTCTGATTCTGATTCTGATTGATTCTGATAAGCACACACAAGAATACACATAAACATACACATACATGCACATACACATATGCAGACATACAGTACATACACACAAATACATATCTATACATACGCACACACAATAATACATTACATACACGTATACACACATACAAATATACCTACACATACATATATAAGCACACACAAGAATACACATACACATATACACTCATACATATACATGCACACCCGTATACACACATACAAATACATACACATACATACCTACACATACAAGCACACACAAGAATACACCTACACACATAGTCACAGTGAGACATAAAAGAACAGTACACAGGATTTGTAGACATCACCTCCTCTCAGGCCGGCTGGCGCTCACCCCTTATCGTTGCGTGCTTGTGTACAGTCGCATCTTAATCTAATCAGCTCACACTTACTGGATCCTGCAGGTGTATTACTGTACGGCAGCGTAATGTGGAGAGACGCCAAAGATAAGTTTTATTGATCAGATTTGGCGATTGTCACCCTGCTAAGTGGCTAATCTGCTAGCTCCCAGGTCAGGGGCACTATAGATTCCACTATGTCCAATTGATAAATGTGTTTAAAGAGTGTGAATCAAACAATCGCCAGTAGCTTTTTATGGCATGAAAAATTAAGGATTTGGATGCATTTTTTATAAATAATCAGATTGAATCGTTTTTTCGAATTAATTGTACTGCTTTTTGTGGCTTCTGTAATTTCACATAGTCACCTACCACCTCTGTGTTAAACTTTTGAAACCACATTTTAGTTTCAGAGGAACCAATACATTTTCTCTCTCTCTCTCATTTGAAGTTTGTGGGGCTTTCCGTTATGCATAGTGTGGTTTGTGAGACATTTCTTTCTCAGTAACATTAACATTTGGAGTGGACTGGCCTTCCTTCTCTTTCATACCTTGTTACATGACAGATTTGTGGCTGACTGACAGTTACTTAATGTATTTGTATGTATGCATGTTTTCGAAAACCCGTTTCCCTTCTCCTGGACAAGAAGGCCCAGATTGATGCAGTGAACACAACACAGTCGTTTCCATTAATCAGGTCCGAACCACAACAGTATCACTAAAAGTCTGACACCACAGGGTTTGCCTCATGCCCTTATTCTCATCCCCCACAACTTCTACCCCCAACCAGCCGTATCCTTTTAATATAGCAGCCACAGATGAAAAATGGTCTGCTTTTGTTTATTTGCCACCGATGCAAATGCGACCACAGCAGGATTAGTGAGTTCTCCATCTCTTTGCTGATAGCGGTGGGAAGAAAGAAGGGATTTTTATGCAAAAAAGATCTCTCCCACCCTTTCTATGACAATTGCAATGCATCACTTCATAGACAGTTTTTAATCTGTTTCAAACCAACCACACTTTGAACTGCTGCGAATGTGAGATATACAACTGTGCGTGTGTGCAGAGCAGTGTGTGTGCAGAGTGGTGCGTGTGTGTTTGGGTGCTGTATGTGTTTTCCTGTGATTAATCTTTGGAGCTGGTTTAAGCACACTCTGCTGACACAGCACAGATCTCCCCCTCTCTCCGCGGCTAACTTTGTCTCTGTGTCGGTGTGTCCTTGAATTTACTTTGAATAACACAAAGTTTGTATTCACCGGAGGGTTTGCTGTTGCTCTTGCTGACCACAACATTATAGGTCGCGAATTAATCAAGACACAGTTTTAGTACAATCATGATGCTTTTGAATGCCTAATAGAGGGAAAAGCTATTCTCTACCAAAACTAAATATATGTGTTGATATCAAACCTAATGATCATGTAATTGCGGGAAACTTCAATTAAATTCCATTCAATTATTTTTTGTATAGCCTTAAATCACAATAGTTATATTGGAGGACTTTACACAGTTGTTGATTCGCCAACACGGATCAGCAAATCAAACAGTTCAAACACAAAAAATATGATGATGAAAACACATAGAGCCATTGGTCCATAAGGGGCAGAGGACCAATGTCTATGAATGTCCATTAATGCCTTGAATATTCATAAATGTCCTTGAATATCCTTAAATGTCCTGGATCATTACCACAGTCCTTAGACCCTCCTGCATCTGCAAGGAAAAAAATCCAGTGGGAAAAAGTGAGAAACCTCAGGGAGGCCCACATTGAGTCCTGAGTCTATGAACATTTGTTTTGTAGATTTAAAATGTTTTATGCACTTGTTGCGTGGATGGACAGTGAGAAAAGATTAAAGCCGCAATAACCTAATGCAATCAAACTATCTGCATTTTATAAACATTCCCAGCAGAATAAACTTCAGTGAAACGAAAGTCATTCCGTTGCAACACAATACAACCAGGTGCAGTATTAGCTGGATAATATTCAGTCTGGTGTCGCTTTGATTCCACCTTTACACTGTCAAACCCAGAGACATCCATCATCAGAACCTCCAGAAGAAAGCTATGAACGTCAGAACTCATATCGCAACATGGTTCATTGCTGTCACTGTCAGAAACACAACAAACTCATCCATTTCTCTTTAGGATTTCTGACTGCACAATCACAACCTATACTGTTTGTACCCTGAAAGCAGCGGAGAAAATGGGGTAAAAAGTGGAAAAATATGGGCTTGTTTATCTTCTGTGCCTTTGGGGAAAGCGCCTGGCACCGAGAAGATACCAATGGGACAACACAAAAGCGAGATAAAGTGTTAAGACATTTTTACTCATCAAATTTAATAAGCCTCATCGCAGACACGCAGGTATTCAGTCTGACACTTCCACAGCAGAAAAGGTAAACACATCCATTCTGTAAGCTCTCACGAATCCCTTGGAAAACCTAAGCTCAAACTAGAGGTTGACACGCACTCTCAACATATCATAGGCTCAATAAGATACACTCCGAATAATACAATAAATAGATACATATTTCATCATATACGTAGCTCTCAGAAGCATAATGAAAAACCCCATTAAGAATGCTTTACTGTCTCGCTCCACCCTTCATTCCCTCACCTGAGCAAAGGGCTTATACCGACGCCAAAGTGCTACTGACACCCAGCATTCAAAAACCGGATTTAATCAATCGTCATTATGGTACCGGGGGAAAATAAAGCGCTCGGCCACAATTCGTGACACAAAGACAGTCTAAGGAGATCTTTCAGGTGTTCAGTAGCTCTCTGTGACAGCTGATGGCGAGTCGGTGAAACACTGATCCACTGTTTTCTTGTAGAGACATCAGGCTTGAATACAGAGGTGCCACGGCGTACGCTGAAAGCCTTCTCAGAGACCTGAATACGGCACAACACCTGCACGGCTGCTGAAGAGGATTAGGGTGTCAACAAGCACAATAGCACCGGGAACTCAATGCCTTTTGACTGGCCCGGGCCCCCCGCTGCATGCGCTCTTTGACATCCCCATTGTTAAAGTTACCTTTTTTTCAATTGTTGCTTAATGGGGGAGCTAAGATGATTAAAAACAGGAGAGGTTATTGAAAAGTTATAAACATTTTTCAGTTAATAATGAGGGATTTATGTAAAAATAGCAGCAGAGTTTGTCATTGAAATTAAGGAGGACCCAAATATTCAGGAATATCGAAAATAATGAGTTATTGATGATAATTGATAAAAGCCCAAGGTAAAAACAAATTTAAAAATCCAAACGGAACACAAATAGACAAAGACACGCAAAGACAATGGACCAGCAACAAGGGGAAACGAGTACAGGTACACATAGGTACAGAGAAACACGGGTGAAACACTTTAGGGCGGGGCAGACAATTAACACATGAGAACAGGAAGTAAAACTAAGGTGGCGTTTACACAATAGAGTTGAGTATCAGTTTGGCTTGGGGGGGGTGAAAAAGCAAGCGTTGAGAAAAAGCCTCCAGAGTGGAGCAGAACAGATATACGCATATACATGGACATGTGCAGTAGCCGAGAACAAACATAAACAACAATGGCGGCAGATCGACTATTGCTAATACGGCGGAGAAATTCTACTCCTTGCATGTTCTTCTAAATGAGGCCTAAAACAAAACCACAGAGTTGATGTCAAAACAATAAAAGTCCAAAAATAAAATCCACACCACGACAGAGTTGTTCTCTCTGTTTATGCTTTAGATACTTGAGTGTAAAGATTGTAATGCAAAAATCTAACAGAAAGTAAAAGCAAATAGAGCTTGGATGAAGGAAGTGTCGGGCAGAAGAGGTTGGCAGGACTGTAAAGGGTGCGGCAGTCTGCAGAAAGACGTTGAGACGTGGCCCTCGCTTCAGCATTGTTGGACACCTCCTCGGCTGCATGCTTTCAAAAGGGCTTGGCTAGTGCCAAAAAACGTGTAACTTTTGATAGAACTATTTTGTGGCATAAACCAAGGGATTTTTCATTTATTTGAAAAAAGCATCAATACAATTCACAGTGTTCGTCAAATGCAAGAGTGGTATAATTACTGGCAAGGAACACGTTAAGGATATGATGCTTAAAAACATAGTCTATCCCTTTTGAATGATCTACTGTATATTTGCATGATATTTGTATTGGGACAGCCTTGGGACTAAGGCTGACATGTAGCAGTTATGCTAAGTCCGGCACATTTACACCGACGCTTAAGGCATCAGGGTTGATGAATGTGTCTATTGTTCTGCTGAAACAATCACACACACACAGTCACACGCACACACATGGTTACATGCAAATTTGTGTGTTTGCATTTTTCAAAATTATTTTGTTTCTAATCAGTCACTCCTTGTTTCTGATAATAACTCTTCTTTTCCATAAGACTTCAGCTTTGACAGGTCACTGATGCACTGTTCCACTGTTGCATGTTAGAACTCCTCTGTAATGCTACGATTGCAAAGTGGATGTGCATGTGTTTAGGAACATGACTTTTGTACATTTCAGGGAACATGTGCTCAGACTTAAGAGTGTGTGTGTCCTGCTTGAATGAACTCGAGAGAGAGGAAGGCTCTTAGTATGGAATGTGAGGGATGTTATATAAACACATTACCGACAGTACCAACATACAGCCGTACACACTGCTGGCGCCAACCCATGCTGCATTAGTTGACATTTTATACAAAAATGGTGAAAATGGAGCGTCTGGGGGAGCGGCGGCGGGATTTCAGGTTCTCACCAGACTGTTTGGGTTGAACTTGTTCTCCTTTGGCCCTCAGACTTGTGATTGCAAAATCGGCCTCCCAAAGGGACTACCATGCGGGGCTGAGGTCGCTCCTTCTGCTTATATGACCTGACAATTTAAATAGGAAGTCTAAATGATTTAGCCACTCACATCAAATACAGAAAAAGGAAATCAGTTCTAGCCCCAAATGTGATCTGGTTACATGTCTAATGGAGGCCCTGTTTACAGCGGCCACAGTCCTCCAATGTAAAAGCTTTTCTTGACATTTGCCAAGCTCTCCAATAAAGATAAACAAGTGCAAAGAAATGGAGCACATTCACAATCGAACACAGGCATGTCATTTTGCATACATTCAAATGAATACACTGACTTTCAAAAACCAATTAATTTCAGATAGCATACACATAAAAGGAAAGGGGATCCTGTGAACATTAAAAGGCACCGAAGCCCAAGCGTCTTTTTCCTGTGTGTCTTTAAGGCTTCCTCAATCCTGGGCCTTCTAAATAGGATTCAATAATGTCCAGGTTTCTTGTTTTTAACTTCAAAGTGTTCCTACCAAACAGCTTAAGTCTAACAGAGAGAATAAGAGGCAAACACTGGAAACTCATTATATGTCAACCTTCAAATTAAAACACCACGCAGTATTTACAGTACAGTGCCGTAAATGCCATTTTGTTTATAGCTTTGGTCAATTATAAATGTGTTTTTTTTCCCCTATTCTAAAATCATACTCTGCAATACTAATGATCACATCCCAAAATGAGAGCGATTCATGACCCATTTTAATTTCCCGTTGTCTGTGGTCACTACACAAAGCACTAAGTAAAGGTTGATACTTAATTGTCTTTTGGGGTGTTTTTTCCTCTGCATTTGGCTTCAGAAGTTCAGCTTGGTCATGACTACCGTGCGGCTGGAGGATTTTGGATGTGAAAAAATGATATATGGTTTAATAGGACATTGATGATTGACACTTCTGACAAACAGCTACATGTATAATAATAAAAAACTGCCAGATTTGACACCATTCTCACTCCTTGTGCTGTATGCAAGTTTGAATAAGCCTGCATTGAAATTGATTCTTCTTTTACTTTTTGTATGAATCTGGGAAGGCAGCAGAGTCCTAACTTGAGAGATAGATAAATGGATGGAAACTTTATTGATCCCCGATAGAAGAAAGGCAGCAGAAAAACATCCATCCATACAAACAAATAAATACAGAGGTCTAAAAACTGCTCTGTTAGACTGAAAGAACACACATGACTGCAAGAGTGATGCAGTTTCCAATAAGAATTCATTTGACCTGTTCATATAACTGCTGGTTTTTACATACATTGTTGAAAATAAATAAAATAGAAGCTAATAAATTCTTGTATCGAGTGTTTTTTTATTAATATTTTGATTTCACTTCTGGCTTTCTGACAGTCTTGAAACAGCATTTGCCTAGACAAGCAGTAGTAATATTTTTCTTATTCCAAGGGAGAATTTGCTTGTCTCTTTAAAAGCATGACATATTTACCTGTTCCATTGGAAAATTTGAAAATTCCAGTGTTCTCAAATAACAATAAAGGTATAGCATAAAACAAATTTTGCAGCACATTCCTTGCTTTCATCCAATTTACAAAAAAACACTAATATTTCTTTCAACTCCGTGAGCACGTTTGAGATAAATCAGCGGCGATCATTGTCCTTCTTACCCACGTCTGCGAGCATTCAGTGTCTCTCCGCTAACCCTGCAGACTGCTCCATCGCCGGAAGACAGCCACACAGCTATGTTTACCCAGGCAAATGGAGTGCCTCTTCCTCCTCCTCCACCACCACCACCACCTTCTCCTCCTCCTCCTCTTCCTCTTCCCAGGCCCGCCACCAAAACGCCGGCCGGGACCGCATCCAGGACCGCGACAGGCACGGGAGAGAGGCAAGAGGGAAAGCCAGTGTGAATGTCAACTGGCTCTGCGACAGCCTCACCAGCTCCTCTCTTCCCAACACACACTCTCTCTGCATGCACCCAGTTAACAGCATGGAAGTTCGCGCAGCACTATATACATAAAAGCAAACATGCATTCATATTGGGGCTGACACGGGGCTCAGACACACGCCAGCACAGTCCCTTGGCAGCGCGGCCTGTGATACTGAGGCTGAAGGAATTTGCTGTGGATTACTTGTGGACTGAGGCGGGCAGCTTTTGGCACACAGCGGCCCGGACACTTTGAGGATTTAACTAGCAGCGGCAATAACAGAGGCAGAGGCATCCGCAAGCCCCGCGGGGGGAGGAGAGCAAGACCCACGAACGCAAACGCTCCCTCGCAATCCCATCAAGATTCATGTGTACTAGCATCAGGTATTAATGATGTTGTTGCGATGAAAACATGCGAGCGATAACAAATGTGTGAGTGGAAATAACCAGGATTGGATTGTGCAATATAGGAATACTAAAACTTGAAGCTAATAATTATATATGTCAGAATACTTTTCTTATATAGATACTACCGCACATTCGACACATTTTGATTGGTTACCGAGCTGCCCAACTTTTTTCCCCAGACTGTAACAACCAAGATGGAATTATACTGGCGTCAGGTATGTTGATATGATGTGGGGTAACGTTTCAGGCAATAAAACATGGAGTTGAAACTATATGGGGATTCATTATGTTCAATTCAGAATTTTTTTGTATAGCCCTGAATCACAACAGCAGTCGCCTATAGGAGGACCTTACAAAGTTGTCGATACGCCAACAACAGATCAGTTTGAACATAGAAATACAATCATTACAAACGCATGGGAGCCATTGGTCCATAGGGAACGAGATGACCAATGGTAAAGAATGTTCATAAATGTCCCGGCTCTTCACTGTTCTTAGACCCTCTTGCAAGAAACAATTCAAAAACCTTCTTGCTTTCTTACTTTTAGTATAGTACAAAAACTGAAATGATCTTGCAGCTAATTTCAAGACTTATGCATACTAGCATTGAGTGATAATGAAGTACATTTTTTTTCTGGTAAACTTCCAGGCAATAAAACATGGTGTGCACTGACAGCAATTGTGTTATTACAGTGAGAACGCTGAAAGCCAATTAAAACGCTTTTCCAGAGTACACTTATTTTAGAAAGATAATGCAGTGATTCTATACACCAACATTTTGACTAACTACGCATTTGCCGAACTTTTTTCCTCTGACTTTGCCGACAAGGTGGATTGCAAGAAACATGTTCTAACAACCATTACTGGAATCTGCATTACAAATATCACACAACACAGGTGCATAATAGGCAACCCCAATCTGGCCTTTTTTATTATTATTTGTATCCCGTCTTGAAATCTGCCAATTGTTTCCTCTGTGTAGAATTGTGAAAGTGAAGACAGAGCCACATCTTGATGAGCAGAGTGTGCAGAGTCAGGTTTCAGTAGGGGGCAATGCAAGGCTGCACACTGAGCCTCCAGCTGCAGAGCATCAGGTCACTTCTCCATAATCGATGTAGCCTTTACACACATCGCTTCAATACAGACATTTGTCAAGTTTTATCATTTACACCCAAAATATTAGCTCAATGAAATGTTACTTTATTATTATTATTTTTATAACAGTATTTATATGTACGCTGCAACATAAAACTGCTGGTGTGTCTGCAAAATAAATGTTTTCTTCTCTGTTTACATAAATAGTGTTGAACATAATTAACAGCAGACCAGTTCTGTGGCATTCCTGACAAACAAGAGCGCAATGTATTTGACTTTTTAAACAATATGCAAATGTCCTTTACGATTACAAATACCCCATATATAACACATATTTTATTCCGATTCCAATTTAAATATGCTAATAGATTTCTTAATGACTTCTGTCCGGTGAAGAAGTTTTTTTTTTTTTTTTGCATTGGAACTAAAGACAAAGCTTGGAGCAAGAGATAGGGCAGCAGATAGCCGTGCACAGTAGGAGTGAGCATAAATATATTTTAATTGGACATATGGATTCCTACTTTGAACTCTAAATGGTTGTGTCTATTTCCAGGAGTAGCTCTGGGGTCGCAGAGTGGTGTGAATGACATATCAGTGGGAAGGATGGAAGGCCACATAAGGATTCCTAAGATCAGGCCCGGACTGACGATGGCTCCAAACCAACGGAACATTTCTTATTGAGTACAAAACAATTAGTCTCCGTGGTGCTTTGATGTTTAGTGGTGCCCTGCAGGTCGGGCGGGAGAGTGTTTCTTTATCTTAATTGAAAAAATTAAATCATTAACCTGATGCCACTATTTTTGAATGACAAGTGCCTTATTTTCACCCTCAGCTACAGCAAGGGGATAAAAAATAAAATATACCAGACGGAGAAGGCCGCGCCGAAGAAATACTCAATGAGAAAAAAGGACTATTTCAATAAGACAAGAAAAAGAAAGTTTAGTCGGTGTAATTTGATTAATAATGCTAAACGGAGACTAGAAGGGGGTAAGATAGGACCCAAGGAACAAATTAGCCGGCACAGCTGGGGAAGGACTTGCTTGGGCTGAGTATCAAAGGCTCACAACACTGCCTTCTCCTCCACGCCTCTGCAAACTCAAATTGAAATTTGGTATCTTGTCATTTGAGCCTCAGAAGTGTCTTTTCTTTATTAACTACTTTTTCCTTTTAATTTAGCTTATTCACTCCTTTATTTTTTTTACTTCTTTTATGAGTTGAATGTAAAAACTGCTCTTATCTTTTAATGCTTTGGTTAATGTTCGTAAAATTGATATGTAGCGGGGAATATATTGTTTCTGGGGAAAAGATAGCTCATTGTGGTTTTCTCTTCAGTTCCTGAAAACTACTTCAATGTGTGACCTTTGTATTAATCAGAGAAAATTGGTTAGCACTTCAACACCCCACTGCTAAGTATTCTTTTATGAATCCCCGCCAGTAAAATGCAAGAATAATACGCACTAGAACTAGAAGTTATTGTCCCTGGGATTGAACCTGCGCTCTGGGTTTCGGTGGGCCGTAAATGTTGCAAAACTTTCAAACCAACTATCATTTATATGAATTTCCCCATTTCATTATGATAGAAAGTTGTGTACAATATGTGTTTCTGCTGCTGGATAATGGGGATCAATAATGAACCAATGTCAATGAGTTTTAATGTTCTATTTCTTGTGTTTGAACTCTTTGATTCTCTGATCTGTGTTGGTGAATTCAACAATTGTGTAAAGTCCTCCAAGATTTTTACTGTTGTGATTTAGGTCTATACAATAATACATTGAATTGACTAAAGTATCTATCTATCTCCTTAATTCTGCTCTAATTTATTAAGAAAAAATAAGGCTGGCATTTAAATGTAAAGACACAATTTCATGATATTGCAACAACATGCATACACCTTGCACTAGACTTGGTTTTGTACATAGTGTGTTGGTTTGTGGTGGGAGTCAGCTTGTCATAACACATCTTGCTTTTAGCTTCCTAATCGTGGGAGATGGCCGTGTTGTTTTGATCACCTGTAGTATTACGGCTCATGTGAATACGGCTTTGACTGGAGGCCTGTCACTCCGCTCTGCGCTGTTTGGGTGGAGAGTGAGGTAAGAAATATCACTTGTCCTTATCTCTTTTCCTTTGACCTGAAACAGTCAAACAGCAGCGCGTGAAAAAGAGCTGATGATGGGGAAACACAGAACATACAGGCTTGAAGAAGTGCGGGGAAGTTGCCACCCATTAGTTGAAGCAAAGTGTTGGTTAAAGTGTGTGAACATGGGGGGGCCGTGTCCTAAAACACGATGTTGAGTTCATGTTTATTAGGTTACTCTAAGGTAGATTTAGGGCAGTGCCAAATATCGAAAGATTGTAATCTCAAGTTAGGTAGATCGTGATGGTTGAGGCCTGAACGGAAATTGAAAGACACCAATTGCGTGGTAACAACAAGCAAAATGGGCTGAAGAGGTTTATTTAGAAAAAGTGAAAATAAAAAAACGAAGAAGGCACAAGTTTTTACATTTAATAATAATAATAAAAATAAAAAGTTGTAATTAAAAGCGCCTTTCAAAACACCCAAGGACACTGTACAAACATGGTTAAAAACAGAGTGCAATTACAAACAAAACAAAGACAAAAATATTAGCATTCATAAAAAAGAAAACAACGGAACTAGACCAAGATGTTGGGGTGACTGGTCATCTGGGGAAATAAATTAATGTATGCAATACCTGGTGTGAGAGTGTATCTGTATGAAAAGTATTGTATTTTCCGCATACCAGTATCGTAATTTCCAGACTCTAAGCTGCATCTTTATCAGAGTTCTCTCAAACCTGCGATGCTGCTTTTTTGTGTATTTTATTGTGGGTTGAGTGGGTTGTCATACCGGAGTTTACGGACTTAATAATTTTGACTTTATAAAGTTTTAGTAGCTAGAGAACACTTGTTTATTGTCAACATAGAATGGTGAATGGGTAGAGGCATGGAAGCTAACGGCTAAGCTAGCTATTAAAATATCTTGTCAATAAATCTTGTTGTGACCAGTTAAAACAGTCATCTATCTGCTACATTACAACATGCAAACCTATTGATTATATTCAAGTGCGGCCTATGGGTCGACAAAAGCCCTTTTCTTTTCAAGGTGGTGCGGCTTACATACAGGTGCACCACATAGTCCAGAATGTACGGTAATGTTGTTTTTCTTTTATAATCAAAGTTTGCGAGATCAGTCAATATGTGGGAGAAAAATATAGATTGCCCAGACATAGAAATATTTGAAGCTCTTTTTCCCTCAGTCTCTGCTCTTGGTCAGTTCAACAGCAGATTATGTGTCCATTGTGCCCCATAGTAATTACCCGATGTCTTGAGATGATTTATTGATGCCACGACATCAGCAGCAGCAGCAGCAGGAGCAGCAGCAGCAGCAGTAGCAGCAGCAGCAGCAGCAGGAGCAGCAGCAGCAGCAGTAGCAGTAGCAGTAGGAGCACTCAGAGATGGCTGCCGTTTGTTTGTCTTCTGCACCTGTGTTTTATTCACTGTTTGAAGTGTGGTTAGCACCCACAAC